TGCTAAATAGAAGTGGCGGCGGCAGAACATTAAGATTCTGTCCCTCCTTTCAACCCTTGTGTTCTACTGCTCTCTCTTTTCTTTCTCCTCTCTTCTCTATACTTTTTCTTCTATTTTCGAACCTGAAATCTATTAGGGTTCAAGGCTGATAGCAGTCTTGAACGTCTACTCAACTTAATCCAGATACAAAGGGCTTCTAATAGAAACAATAGAAAATAACAAAAAACAAGCCTGTCCATCTACAACTAAATTCAATGCTTACAAAAACGACTGTCAAAACTCTAAAGATCTGTCAAGATCATTATAGTGTTTCAGAAGTGCAAGGACCATTTTGTGCCTGAGGCCCGAGGTGCAAGGTGAGGCATGCATTTTTTTGAAGCAAGGTGCAAAAGTGCAAAAAAAAAAAAGATAAAAATATTCAAAAAAAGCCAAAAAATTCAATGCAACATAATATTAAACAGAATATTAATAATAAAATATAAACTTAAATTTTAGAAGAAGTGCTTTAAAAAAACCTATTATCTCAAATTAAAATACATAATCATAACATGTAAAACATATTTAAAATGAAAATTTAAAAAGAAAATCAAGCATAACATATAAAACATATTTAAGCATGTAAACTCTTAATCTCTTTATTTTTTTTTTCCTAATTGCATTAGTTCAAATAGCCAATGTGATGTTAAACATTATGCATTCTTGATTCTACAAGCACCTTTGTACCAAGCCCTTGAAGCAAGCCCAAACAAGTCCATATCAGGGTCTTAAATTCTTAATCCCTATACACAGAAAAAGGTTTTATAACAAGTGTCTTTTAAAAATATATTTCGAAAACCCTATTTGCTAATGTTGTTCATTCATTCATCCTAATAAAAGATATTTTTAAAATACACACAAAGTTATATAACTTTTTTTTATAGAGATTAAGAATTTAGGGCCCTAATATGGACTTGTTTGGGCTTGCCTCGAAGGGCTTGGTCGGCCCAGCTGCTAAGCATAAAAAAACTGATAAAATGCATGGATTTTCAAAAGGCACACGCCTGGGCTGAAGCTCAAGACACACCAAGCACTTGCCTTTTGAAAGTTCTGCGCTTGGGACCTAGGATATGCACCTAGTCGTGCCTGAGGCATACCATCTGATTTACAAAAAGTGCACCTGTTTGGGAAAATACACAAAAAGGTCTATTATTTTGCAAGTGGTCCAGAGTGTTCACTTTCCCATAGAACATTTCCCAACACAGGGCACTAAATTTAGGGAGAATAGGTCGACACCAAACTTCATTTGAAGGGGAAGATTAGGGGTTAGAGGACTGACAAAGGGCATTAAAAAGGTGACACAAGAAAAATGACCTTTAGAATTGGAAACCGAACTCTTCTATCTGGTTTAGAAGGCTCCAAACAAACTCTATCAAGAAGATGCAAAAGCATTGTTACAGAGGTGAATTTCTCATCCCTCAATGCCCTATGAAACCTAAAATCCCAGTTATGGCCTAGAGGCAATAAAGGGGGGACTAGAAATTTTGAGATCACCTCTTTTTTGTACAAGGAAATGGAATACAAGGAAGGAAACAAATCCTTTAGAGGCAGATCACCAATCCAAACATCTTCCCAAAACTGAGTTAAATTCCCTGAACATACATCATACCTGATATACCTGAGAAAAAGAGGAAGGATACCATGAATTGCTTTCCAAGGTGCTGCCATAGTAGCCCAATGTGATACACCTTCATAAGCCACTCTCCAACCTTCCATGGATACTATCTACCACCTCATGCCATAACTTTTCTCTTTCTAATGGCCATCTCCACAATATTTCCCTGGTGAACTCCACTCTATGGCATTGGTTGTCAGCTATCCACCAATACCATAGAATGGGGTTATCCATCACCTCATGCCATATTTCTAAACTCACCATTTAGAATTACAACTTTTTGGCTGGCCATGGTGAACCCATTCTATGTGATCCCTTACAGCACCTGTCTGTGCCCATGCATCAGCCACCACATTTGCACTTTTAGATGTTGATCATGCTTGCTCAAACTATCAACTAGCTTAGACTTGACAACGCCTTTCATTAACTAATTGATTCTCAGACTCAACAAAGAATAAGACATCTTCTCCAGCTGCAACCTTCTTTTCATTGAAATGCTGATCCACTTTAATGTGTTTAGTTCCATCATTTGCATAGGATTAGGAGATGATTACAATAAAGCTTCTTAGGGCTATCAATAGGACTGTTCAATTCTTTGAAGAGAGATTTTAGCCATGGTAGCTTAAAAGAACCATGCACCATGTCTTTGCTATGAAACTAAATTACCATTAAGAAACATGCAATAACCATAAGTAGATTGTCAGTTATGAATACAACCAGCCCAGTATGCTTCAATAGCTATCATCAATGGGAAATTCATATTTGAAGCATATTGACCGTGAACAATTCTAGCGTAGGAAGGATGTCATCCAATCAGTCATGGTTGCAGAAGTCTTTCAGGTAATATTTGAAAATTCTTTATTTGTAAGAGCCCCTTGATCATTCTAGAATTTATGATCAATGTTTTAAAAGGTGTGGAGGTCTACACATGGAAGTGTGCCTCCAGGAAAAGTGCCCTCAAAATGCCCGAAGGCACATGCTGAGGTTTATGCCTCGTATGCCTTTTGCATGTGGCGTGCCAAAGCTGTATGCTTCAGCCCTCATGTGCCTCATGCATGCCTCATATAGAAAGAAAGAACAGAAAGAAAAGGAAAGAAAAGGTGTGGGAAGTGTATGCTTGGAGGTGCACCTCCAGGTGAGCACACTCAAAATGCCCCGAGGCACACGAGGAAGGGTTTATGTTTTTGAGACGTAAACCTCAGATGCCTTTTGCATGAAGTGTACCAAAGGCGTATGCCTTGTGTGCTTCATGCACACCTCATACAAAAAGAAAGAAAGAAAGAAAAAGGAAAACATGTACATCTTTTGCTACTTCCTCCTTCCCCTTCTCTTGAGAAGGATTACGTATCTTGCATTCTAAACTACATTCACACCTCTAGGTGGTAGAACACCTCATGTCATGCCTCCACATTTTAAAACATTGCTTATGATTGGTCTCTATAGGAATCTTAGTAGGCTTTACTTTTAATTTTCCAGTATATTTTATCAAATCTATGATGTATTTACTCGAAGAAATGAAAATACCCTTCTTGGAATGAGCAACCTCGGTTCCTAGGAAATACCTAAAAGTTCCTAGATCTTTGTTTACAAACTTTGTGGTAAGGAACTTCTTCAACTTAGCAATTTTAGAGGGATTGTTACCTATTACCACTATGTCATAAACATATACAGTCAACACCGTTAAGCTACTATCATCCATTATGAATAATATAATGTGTGGTTTGCCTTTGATTGTGGGGAATCTAAATTTCTAAACAAAACTCCTAAATCTGTAAAACCAAGCTCTAGGAGATTGTTTCACATAAAGGTGTAAATTGGATACCTGGTTTGAAGAACTTCTGTTGCAGTGGGCACAACCCCCTTCAAAGTTTAACAAATGCTGGCCCTGTGCCCTTGAAGTTTTTGACAAACACTCAACTCATGCACACCCAAGTTGCTGCTTATAAGAAAAAAACAGAGTTCTACCTCCCTATCCTGTATTTCTTTAGTTGTTAGAGAAACATGTAATTCTTGGCAATGTGTGTTTGCATGAAATTGATTAGCCACAGCTACACTATTAAATTCTTAACTTCTTATTTAGCAAACAAGTCCTCCAATTTAAGTTGTTTCTCATTTCTAATGAGATAATTCAGTTTCCTCTGTCATCCATGTATATATCTGGCAGATTGAGACTATTCCAAGTAACTATTTCCATCAAGCTTGATAAAGTGATTTGGATATTTGGGCTATCATTGTAGCCCATTTAAACAGTAACATATTTTTCTCTTTGTTATTTTCTTGATTTGTCAACATGGTTTACCTCTTGTTAAGTTTCAACCTTTGTTACCTCAATATGGAAAGGACATGGTATCAGATGCCAAATTTACACTAAAAATTGAAGTGTTGTACACTAGGTAACATAGGTTTCAACTAGATTATGTGATTCTATCATACAAAATCCATCAGACCTTATTGTTTTGGTTCTAAATGTTTCATCACAATTTGCTAATAGATTTGGCCTTGTATCTTGCAGGCTTCTCCAGTTTTGTCTTCCCTTGTTCAGAAGAGGGGTCAAGATGGAGCTGGATCTGCTGGTGTCAAGTCCCTAAGAGCTATTGCACTCCTTGGAGCTGGAGTTTCTGGGCTTTTGAGTTTTGCAACAGTAGCATCTGCTGATGAGGCTGAGCATGGCTTAGACTGTCCAAGTTACCCTTGGCCTCACAAAGGCATTCTCAGTTCATATGATCATGCATCGTGGGTGGATGGTTATTTTTCTGAATTTGTTAAGTTTTTTTGATGAATATTCTGAATTTGTTAAGTTATTTATAAAAGAAAGCAGTAGTTCCTAAAATAAAACCTATTTTGTAGTGTCATTGCCTGGTTGTATTTCTAGATTAGATCTTTTAGCATGATCCTCCAGGTAGGGGATCATGATTCATGATATTATCTTAGCGTATGTTTCCATGGTCTTGCTAATATCTTATTGGTTCTGCATTCAAACCATATCTGGGCAGGATTCGCCGTGGCCACCAGGTTTACCAACAAGTTTGTGCATCTTGCCATTCAATGTCTCTAATTTCTTATCGTGATCTTGTTGGAGTGGCATATACTGAAGAGGAGACAAAGGCTATGGCTGCAGAAATTGAGGTAGTTGATGGGCCTAATGATGAGGGTGAAATGTTCACTCGCCCTGGTAAACTAAGTGATCGCTTTCCTCAGCCATATGCAAATGAACAAGCTGCAAGGTTTGCAAATGGAGGGGCATATCCTCCAGATCTGAGCCTCATAACCAAGGTACTGAAGTCTTCTTAATTTTTAATTCTTCAGATTAATTTCTTTCCTGGTTTCTTGCCAACATCCAACTCTTTGTCCTTTCAGGCTCGCCACAATGGTCAGAACTATGTTTTTGCTCTTCTAACTGGTTATCGTGATCCTCCTGCTGGTGTTTCGGTAATCCACTATTCACCTAATCCCTTATCTAGATTACTCAGATACCTATCTACTTGAATTGACATCTAGAGTTAAGAAAATAGAATTTTCAAACTTCCTTGCTTCTGCAAAATACAGATTTCTTAGTCTATAATGTTAGTTATGTACTATTACCCTCACAAATGTTGTTTTTCACCATTTATTAAAAAAAACAGAAAAAGAAAAAGAAAAAGGGAGAATTGGGATAAATAAGATTGTTTAGATAATGCAAAACATATTTCTGCCTTTTGTTGCTGGAAAATATTCTTTGCATATATCAAAGGACATTTGCAGGAGAAAATGATAAAATAATCATATTGAGGTACTATGGTATATTTTATTATTGATGGCGTAGTATTAATTGATGAAACTAGAGAAAGATTATATTCAAAATTAGATTTATGGAGAAATGTCTTAGAAACAAATTATTTTAAAACAGTTTCATAATTCGATTTACTTGTCAAACAAGAGGTTTTACAAATTACAATAGGTAGGATTACAACAAAATATATGCAATGTAGTTTTAATAATAATAAGAGGTAAAAGTAGGATACATCTAGGATTGGAGACCAAGAGATATCTCGATGCGACATCTATCTTTGACTCGATTCAATAATTCATAACAAGTGAGAGATGGAGAATGATGTCTCCCATAGAATCAGAGTAGGATGGATAAAATTGAGGGGTGCATCTGGAGTCCCATGTGTTAGGAGAATACTGCTTAGGCTGAAAAAATTTTATAAATCAGTTATAAGGTGATTGTTGAAATAATTTATTTTAATTTGTTAGGGTCTGTTTGGTTGGTTAAAGCGTTTTATTTTTTCTGTTATTGTACTTTACTTGCAGCAGGGGCACAAAGGTCTTTTCCCTTCTTATTTTTTGTCGCCCTATATATTATAACAGAAGCTGGCGCCGCCAGCACCTGTTCCCTCTAATCCTTCTTCCTTTCTTCTTCTCTTCTCTTTTCTTCTCTTCTTCTTTATTTTTCAATCGGATTTATTGTCAAGATGGTATTAGAGCAAGGCCATTGAATCTGGGCAATCAAGTTTCTTCTCCAAGTTGCTGAATCTGGGTGGAACAGAGGATTAAATTTGGGTTGATCGAATCAGATCTGCAACTAGTACAGCCCTATTTTTTTCTTTTTTTCTTTTTCTTTCCTTGGTCGTGTACCAAGAGTAAAACGAATGAATCTGAACCACTGAATGTCAGCAGACCCTTGTGAGGTTTATACCTCTTTTTGTTTTGGATTGTGTGATTCTATACCTGTGAAAAGGTGGCTGTAGGTCACGGATGACCTTTTTTCTCTGCTTATTGGCTTGATTTCATGTGTGTAAGGATCTCTCTTAGTGATTAATGCTTGTAAACCTTCTGGAAAACTAGTAGGCTGAGACTGTTATTCCGTACAGGTCTGAAAATCAGTTTTTGTCATATTTTTTTTTTTTTTTTTTTTTTTTCTGGAAATTGGTGCTGTTCTTGTGCTCAGATAAGTCCAAAACTGAAGTGTGTGGACTGGTCACTTGTTGTGTGTGGAGTTTTCTATTCTGATAAAAGGAGGGATCCTAAGTTGAGAGTTTAGATAAAAAATTCTGTGTTGACCATGTTGTCTGAGAATTCTGCTACTTCAGGGGTTTTAGGAAGTCAAAATGGAGTGAATGGGGGAATGTATATGAGTTTCCCCATGGCTGTTATTCCCTTTGACGGTTTGAATTACCTTGAATGGTCTAGGGGAATAAAACTCTACATCACTGCTAGGGGGAAAATACGATACATCAATGGGAAAGTGAAGGAACCAAAGTGCTGAATATGATAGGTGGAACCAAGAAAATAGTATGGTGATGTCATGGCTCTTGGTTTCCATGCTGCCATAGGTAAGAAAGACATTTATGTGGGATGAAACTGCTTGTGAAATATGGGAACAAGCAAAGTCCGCCTATTCAGAGCAAAGACACTATGCCAAGATATACCAACTGCAAGATAAATCCTCTACTTGCAAGCAGGGGGAGAGGAGTCTCTCGGTGTACTATTCAGATCTGGCATCGATATGGAAAGAACTTGATCACTATCAGAATGTAAATTGGAAATGTAATGAAGATGCAAAGTCATACTAGTCACTTGTATCTCAGCAATGGGTATTTGCCTTTCTCTTGGGGCTGAATCCTTCATATGAGTCTATTAGGGTGCAGATCTTGGGAAGTAAAGACTTGTCATTAGTTCAGGAGGTTTATGCCTTAGTTCAGTCAGAAGAGAGTAGAAGAAGTGTGATGAATTGTACAGAGGGGGAGCTAGTTGCCCTAGTTGTCCGGGGAAGTTTAGATATTAATGTCGGAGGTGGTTTTAAGAAGGGTGACTCTCAGAAAAGAACAGATGATAAGAGTAAACTTTGGTGCACTCACTGCCAGAAGGCAAGACACACTAGAGATACATGTTGGGATCTCCATGGAAAACCTAAATGGGCACAGGATTTGGGTAAGAAGTCAACAACTGATTAGGGCAAGAAACCAAGTTAGCAGAATTAGAAAAAGTATAAATCAACTAATATGGCATCTCAAGAGACTAGTCCCATGGTAACTCAGGAAAGGAGTCCCAGTTCCGACCCTAAGGAAGAGATCAACTCCTTTTGTGACCATTTGGAGCTATATGGTAGGACTCTTTGCTAGATGGATTCTGGTCCTACTCCTTCCTCTTTCGCGTCTACATCAAGTAACACTGCCACTGCCTTCCATGTGTCATATCATACATCTGATTCTCCTTGGGTAAGACTCCAAAGCCTCAAACCACATGATCGGTAAGTCAAAATTATTTCAGACATACAACCTTCTCTCTGGGAGAGATAAGGTGAGACTAGCTGATGGTTCTTTCTCCACCATAGCCGGCCAAGGAACCATTATCTCTCCCACTCGGCCTTACCCTTTCTAATGTACTGCATGTGCCTATAAATTTGCTTTCTATTAGTAGTGTTACTCACTCCTTGAACTGTTCAATTACTTTCTTTCCGTCTTCATGTGTGTTTCAGGATTTGGCCTCGAGGAAGACGATTGGTAGAGGAAGCATAGTGGATGCTCTCTACGTGTTGGAGAATAAAGCTGGTCTTGTGGTTATAGAGTCCTTGAGTTCGTCTAGTGAGAGTCAAGCCTATTTATGGCACAGTTGTCTTGGTCATCTTTCTTTTGAGTTATTAAAAGTTATGTTTCCAAAGTTGTTTGAGTCTTTGTTAGTGAGTCAGTTGTAGTGTCAGACATGTCAATTGAGTAAACATTGTAAAAGCTCATTTCCTTTGAGAAATAAAAGATTTGAATTTCCGTTTCATATTGTTTATTCTGATGTTTGGGGCCCTGTTACTCTACCTACTGAGGCTGGATATAAGTACTTCATTACCTTAATCGATGATTACTCTAGATACACCTGGGTAAACCCTATGCAATCTAGAGATGAAGTGCCTAAAATTGTGAAAGACTTTCAACGCATGGTGTTCACTCAGTTCCAAACTGAAATTCTTATTTTCCAGTCGGACAATGCAAAGGAATACTTCCATGGTGATCTCACAGAATACTTTGCTTCGAGTGGATCGCTCCAACAAAGCTCTTGTGCTAGGACACTCCAACAAAACGGTGTTGCTGAAAGAAAAAACCGTCATCTTCTAGAAGTAGCTCGTGGCTTGTTAATCCATATTAATGTTCCGAAATGTTTTTGGATGGATGTTGTTCTGTGTGCTACGTACATCATCAACCGTATGCCATATCGGTTACTAGAGTATAAGGCCCCACATCAGCTTTTGTTTTCTACAGTTCCGTTGTCCCCCATTCCAATGCGTGTTTTTGGGTGTTGTTTCTTGTTTCTTTGTCCATAACTTGTCCCCTACTCGGGGTAAATTTGATCCTCGTGCTATTCCTTGTGTTTTCCTTGGTTACCCTTTATCTCAAAAGGGGTATCGTTGCTAAGATCCCACATCTCGCAAGTACTATGTCTCCATTGACGTATCCTTCTATGAGAATCAACCTCTCTTCTTGATTTCTCCTCAGGGGGAGAGTAGGGTTGAGGAGAAACAAGCTCAGACTCAACTACCTCCTCTACCTAATCCTCCTCCATTCCGTTTCTTTCTTCGCCGCCACAAAAGCCAGTAGAGTTCAAGAGCCGTGGAACCTGACACTATGCAACTAACATCATCGGCTTCATCAAAGGTTGATCCTTCTCATCAGCCAGGTACACTTGCTCCTATTGATATGCCTGTTCCTCTCAATGTTGATTTCCCTATCATTAATGATCTTGATGTTCCTATTGCTAAGAGAAAGGGTGTTAGATCTTGTACCACTAATCATCCTATCTCTCACTTTGTGTCCTATGACCATATTTCACCTTCATATCGTGCATTCCTCTCTAATGTTGACAGTATCCCTGTTCCTAAGAATGCGACAGAAGTCTTATCCAAACCTGAATGGGTAGATGCAATGAAGGAAGAAATTGATGCATTACACAAAAATGGCACTTGGGAGTTGGTGGATCTTCCTGAAGGGAAGGAACCAATGGGTTGCAAGTGGGTGTTCATAGTGAAACACAAGGCTGATGAAACTATAGAAAGGTACAAGGCCAGACTGGTGGCAAAATGTTTTACACAGGTATATGGAGTGGACTATGCAGAGACTTTTGCTTAAGTAGCCAAGATGAAATCTATTAGGATTCTCCTTTCATTAGCAACAAATCTTGATTGGGAACTTCACCAGTTGGACATAAAAAATACTTTCTTGAATGGTGACTTAAAAGAGGAAGTATACTTGACCCAATCTCCAGGTTTTTGTGCCAAAGGCAGTGAATAAAAAATGTGCAGGTTAAAAAAATCCTTATATGGGCTGAAACAATCACCTCGGGCCTAGTTTAGTAAGTTCCACTTAGCGGTTCAACAAATAGGGTTCAAACAATGCCAGCCAGACCACACCCTATTTGTGAAGAAAGTTGAAGGGAAAATTGCAGCTCTAATTGTGTATGTG